TGAGGAGTCCTCATCACGAGATACACTTCACCAGCTAACTTCTGGTTACTCGTATAGATTTCGTATCTAGCCTCTAGCCAGGGCTTTGTGTGGAACCCCGAGATGTTTCTCCCCTCGTATCTCGACTTGGATTACGAACCCTTGGAGAACCGCCGAGAGCCTGTGCACGAGATCCGACTCAGCGATGAGGAAACGAAAAACATGTTACCCTGATAGGGCCGTCGACCTCCGATCATTGCTTTTCGTTCATAGACACCGAGACGAGACGTCTTCGCAAGATTACATAACCATTTTCGCAATACTACGGCGTCTGGATTCGGGTTATCTCATTTCCTGGATGGGACCACGGCCATGAACCTCGACAACCTTTCTTTCTACGTGTGTATGGAGAAGGTTGCTATTATGCTGAGTTTGGACAGCCAATATGTTATGATATGGTGGGATTAACATGGCCGGTAGCTTTCCGCCAGCGCTGAACAAAGGAGTTCTGGAGTTATAGGTGGATTTATCCCGGCGTCTATACCATTACTTGATATCCTCCATCGGAAAGGACCGGAGTAGGCCACTATTCTCGTGGAATGTAACCGCTGCCCCGCAGCAAACCTCTCATTCGACGGCATTATTACATTATGAGGACCTCTTCCCTTAGCTCAGTCATAGTAACAGAGCATCCGATATATTTTATCTTACGTGACGCCCAATACTATCCATGTAACTTTGGTTTATATTCTGTGGGCGACAATAGTACGCCTAACCAATATTGGACACATCATGTCTACATTCCAAGATGTAGCTAATCAAGTTATAACCAATTGAGGACAATCCGACTACCTAACTAACGACGACAGGACATGAACTTGGAAATTACAAATTCCAACCAGCTGGCAACGCCATTCCGTCAAGCCACTCGCCGCCGTTGTTGGGACATGCATTTTTTAGGTCGTACGGTACCGCGGCAAGACATTCCCTGCCGCCTCCTCCTCTGCCGTGTCTGCGGCCAGGAACGTGAGAGAGACACCACGTGTTGCGGGGCACTACGACTTGGACTCGCTCGTCTGGAACGCTTATATCATAGTGAGATTAAAAAAAGTGTACCTTACATGCGCTGGCCGAGTTTGGGCGTCAATGTTTAATCTAACTTTCGCGAGTCCGCCGTTTAGCTATTCGCCCCTCGGTGCCCCGCATATGTGTAAGCCCGTCTTGTGAACTGTAAAATCCAACAAAAAAAAAAAAAGGCACAATTGGACTAGGCCAGTTTCACATGACAGGCTAGGTAACGATTACCTGGTCGTTCAGTTGCAGGAGGCAGGCGGGTGGGTATGAATGAATGAATGAGTGACTAAACGGGGCTCTGAACGGGGAGGGAGTCGAACGAAAGCTCTATCCTAGGCGCTTGATTTGATGGATGGTGGGATGCTTTTGTACATGGCACGTCGACGTGGGTTGACAGCCTGTGACAGTGTAAGGCGAACGTCACAGTGTGTGATTTACGGTCCTGTGGGGTCTGGCCCGCGAGGTACCTACCTAGGTAGCTGGGGGGTGATAAGGGTGATAAGGGCGATCCGTCTACCCCACGAAAGACTCATCCCACTAAACAGGCGCGCTATTGAGCTGCGTTATCGGCATCCACTGGCTTAATTACTGCCCCTTCAGTCTTAGTCTGAACTCTATTTCGTCCTTTTCGATGCCTCGATCGACGATAATTGGCCGACTCTGTGGAATACCTGCCTATTGCAACTCATCGCTTGGGGTTTGTTGATTGCCAATGGGTCTGTTGTTGAATCCAATCGATTAGATGGGAATCAAGTCGTTGGGAAAATGGGAACGCAGATGCCAGGGACCTGTTGAGTGAGGCTTCAAACTTGGAGGAGGGGAGGCATCATCGCTACTTTCCTCATTAGGAAAGAGTACGAAACGCTGGTGGCTGGTAACTCGACAGTGTCCTACTTACACACATGTAGGTAAGAGTTAGGTACCTACCTACCTAGTACCTAGCCTGGAAGCCTTGGCCAAACAACGACCAGGTGCCTGTAGTACCTACATGGAGGTAGTCTACCTACCCGTTGACATTTAGCATTCGTGACACGCCCGCACAAGTTTTAAGTTGCATTATTATTCCAGAGGTGCATAAGACAACCGACAGCCGACAGCCGCAACCATATGCAAAGAGGCAGCTTAGCCTAGTGTTTACCTAAACTCCCGCTGTGCCAAGCTTTGACGTTCTCGAGGCGCCGCTAACAGAGATAACCCATTAGCCTAGTTGGCATGACGAAGAATACCAGCAAATGAATCCGCTACCTAGGTACTTTAGGACTCGATGAAACCCTGAAGCTCAAATTCGTGGCTAAAAAAAAAGGATTGACATCGTCCCACTAGCGGGTGTCCGGTGACTCATGGAGCAAACCACCTTATCGTCGTGTATAGGTACTAAGCGTCGGCTCGGTTATACCCGGGTTTGCTTGCCAACTCGCTACCGAGGTTTATAACTCTATCGAGGGATATAAAAATCACACAGCATACGACGAAATACAGTATGCACTACATTCGACTCCTCCGCCCCGCAAAGATACAGAGCTCGGCGGGAGGGCCGTTGGCCTCGCTGCTCTTTACAATCACCACGGATCTGGGAGACTCGTTCCTATGTCCAGGCGATGGATCAATCGATCTGGTTGTGGCGGCCGAAGACTCGAGCGCAGATCCGGCCGATCCCGCTGCGGTACAACTACGGGGAAGACAGACGTGCAGGTATAAGTGGAAGACGGGAATGCGCGTTCTAGACGCCAAGGTCAGATTATGGCCCGGATTGAAAAAGGAAACGGTGAACTGCAGAATTGCCATATATCCCGCGCAACAACGGCCTCGGGAAACGACAACACCGTTGGGCGCCCTGCATGTTGGTGATGTTTTACCATGGAGAATCGGCGCGGATGAAACGCTCAAGACGGGTGTCGTTATGCCCGCAACATTCGAGTTTGTGAATGGCGTTTGTGCGCCCGTCTCGGTGCGCACGCTTGGGCTAGGAACCAGTCGCTTCAATGGGGATGGAGCGACCGAGAAAGAATCGAACTTGCAATTTGAAGAAGATATCGGGGAAAGTATAGCGCGACATATCTGGGATGCAGGCGTCGTCACCTCCGCATACCTCGCAGATACGTGCTCTTCGCCAGAAAGCATACGCGAAGTATTACCGATTGAGAATGAGAGTTTCAACGTTCTCGAGCTCGGAAGCGGCGTTGGGATTCTAGGGATCACGATCGCGGGAATTATAGCGAAAATCGCTGCTATTCGGGACCAGACGCCCAAGAATGCTAGGGTTCTGTTGACGGACTTGGAAGAAGCTGAAGAGCGTGCAAGGTCGAACATTGCCAGGGCCGAATCCGCACTCACATTCAATCCTGCGGATGGCACCAATGTGGCTATCGAATACGAAAACCTCGACTGGGATGAGGGTCGCTTGGGTCGTTTTGGGTCGCTTGTCGCAGCTACCCCGTGGGATCTCGTGGTGCTGAGCGACTGCACGTATAATGTGGACTCTCTGCCGGCTCTAGTCGGAACGCTAAGCGCTTTGCACGCTGCGAAGGAACGCCATTTCGAGGCTGTGGACGGCAGTCCCGTTAAATCTTCCGTATTACTGGCTACTAAACCACGGCATTCGTCAGAAGAAGCGCTGTTTGGACTTCTGGAAGACCAGAGCTGGGCGTATCGAGTGGTTAAAGAGATACCCCTTCCAAAGATCGGCGAGGAGGATGAGGTCGTGCAAATTTACCTCCTAGAGAAAGGCGGACATATTATCTGAACAGCGCGAGACCCGGCCGCCTTCCAGTCTCAGCTTGACAAGCTGGAGAATTGGAATCACCAGGAAGCTGAGTACTCTCAAGAGGTACGTTCGCAGCCACAACTATCTTTACCATAATAACCACCTGAAGCTTAAAAGAGGATGCAATATTGTCGTGAAGGGGGCACGTGCATTTATCCCATTGTGGTGATTCACGATGTGGCGCTTGCATCACGATCGGTACGAGAAATAGTTACTATTGCATCATATCTACTACTACGATTATCAAGAAAAGGTGCTGCTAGTTGCATACTAGCTATCTATCAGAGAAGAGAATAAGATCGTATTTTTACCAGGAACAGATACACTTTAGACGATAGAAGGTATGAATACAGCTTCAGCTACACCTCACGGACTAAGCGGTACACACATTATGGCTGTTGATTATGAGGGCTCAACTAGTGCAGGCTATCAGTACTAGTACTCTACATAATACGATACATTCCATACTTGTGGAACATGCGGAATCTAAAATGCAGAGTCTCGTTAATGGGAATATTGGATGTTAGACACTGGATCAGATTAAGTGTTAGGAGGGTATGCATATACGGAGTGTATAATGCACTATATAGAGATATTCTTTCAAAATCTATTCACCAATCGAAGCGTGCCCCTCCAAAAGTCAACAATCAATTCAACTAGCAGTAGGTAAACACGGAGCAAACTTCCAAGCGCCGCGACCACTTATTTCGGCACATGCCAATCAACCGCACAAGCTATTTACAGGTCCACGCATAACATAACAAGACGCACATTACCTCTTATTCAAAAGATTTCGGATTTGGAAAAAGCGATGGACTCGGCGCGCAAGATCGAGCTGCAGGTTGCAGAGGATCTCGCGTACCTAGTCGCCAATGTCCGACGCGCCGCCACGGCCCGCATCGACGAGGCGTTCCCACCAGTCGACGATAGCAGCGAAGACGAGTTGAGGACGCGGATCGAGGAGCTTGTCAATGAGGTACGGTGCTCATTTGCTTACTTACTTTATTCTCTCTTCCCGTCACTGCATTTCCCGATCCAGATCTCCAAAATCTATGCTGCAGACAAAGTCTTGGCTTCGGGTCGAAGGTAGGGAGAAAGAAACGCATCTAAGTGGATGAATGAGAAAGGAACAAGCGACTCCTCCCCGGTATATAGCCCGGTTTAATGCTCAAGCCTAGCACATACGACCATAGGATCTGGAAAACGCGGGGTCCCGTCCGCTCCCCCATAGCTAAGCCAGATACCGCCAGATTAGTAGTTGGGTCGGTGACGACCAGCGAATCCCTGGTGTTGTATGTTTTCTTTTTGCCGTTTTCGGCAAATCCCAGCATACACTCCCCCACACGCCCGGACACGCCCGGCGGTTCGATCAAGCATTCCCAGCAAGGGCATTGTGTAGCGTTACACAGGCCCCCCCAGTCTGCATCTTTTATCCCTTACTTCCTGGCCCGATTCGTGTTTCAACGTCCTTTCGTTTTCTTTTTTCTCCTCTTTTTTTTTTGCGGATGCTGCGTGTAGGAACCACAGGCCGAACCTCCCTAGCGACTGACGGATTCCCTTTTAGTACATAGTCAAGACCTTCAGTCTCGCCGCGCCGAATCTAAGCATCAACGGCCTCCCCGTAGACGCCTCGCAGTTCCTGTCCCCCGCGGGGTCCGCGAATCCCCTCGCGAGCTCCGAACCCGAAGAAGTCTTCGAGCCCTTCGATGCGCGCAAGCGCGCCCGCGTCGAGGCCCTGACGACCGAAGAAGAGGACCTGCTCCGCGACATCGCGCACCTGAAGAAGAGCGTGCCGGGCACCGTGGCGGGCGCCTGGGCCGAGGCCGCGCGCAAGGGCGTCAAGGACGACGAGGAGGCGCTCGAGAGGGTCAATCTCGCCGCGGCGCAGTTCGGCAAACTCACCACTTCGGACCCGAGCGCCGGCGACGGGAGCGTGCTGGCGATCACGCCGTTGGAACACCAGGACGATGTCGAGACGAGCTTCGGCGATGCCGTCCGTGGGCTCGGACGCCTGAAGAAGGAGATGCCGGCTGTGGTGGCGCGGATGGAGAGGGCCCGGAAAGCGGGCGAGTATGTGATTACAGAGCGGTGATACGAGGAGTGTATGACACTTACTCGTTGAACCGTATGTAGTGTAGCAAAGCTGACGGCTTGGTCATGCAAGTCAACGCCAGATACATTTTAGGAATCCAATGATACCCCTGTATATCTCTTGTTTGGCGGCACAGGTCACCGTCATATGCTATCGAATATCTCATGAGCATAAAAATTCAAGGAGTACATCTTGATTTTAGCTGCGTTACCAGATTTGACAAAAGATGAATGGTGTCAGCGTATACACCGATATTTCTACACGAGCTTGCTTGAATGCAGTAGGGATCAAAGCTATACCATGCATGTATTTACTTCTTAATCCTTTCCTTTCCCATCTACCTTCCCATCTATGCTTCATTCGGTCTTTGCCTCACTTGTCTGATAGAATTCCACAAGTTCTCCCCAAGAAAAATCCTGCTAAAAACCCCTGCCAAAATATCGACACCCGTAATCAAGAGCGCCGCTTCGTATCACAGGCATCGTATTTTGACCATTTCTTTTTTGGCTTGAAGCTTGCACGTCTATGCGGCAACCTTGGTTTCCTCCCCTTCCACCACCGCGGCGGCATCACCTGTCACGATATCGGCGGGCTTGTTCTCGATTGTGGCATCGCTGGGCTCCTCCTCCCGCCGGGCGGGTTGTTTCCATTCATCTTCTTGCCACGGGCCCTCATCACTCAGCTCGCAACCGCCTTCACAGTTACACTTACCGCCAAACATGGCCGGCAAGTTCTCCTCTGGAATTTGCTTCAGCAGTTCGGCTTTGTACTTGTAACCAAGAACGTGGATCTTGGAGGCGGTGACCGGGTCAAGAAATCTCTGAATAATCCCCCATAACCATGTGAGAGACCAGGGTACGTTGATGACGAACATCTTACCCAAACGTTCAGGATAATTGCTATTGCTCATCGCCGATGTCTGCCGAATGTAACTCCGAATTGCCTCGGTATCGAGCAAGCTGATCCGGTTAGCGTCTAAGACACTGCACGAAGTTTCGACAAGGCGGCCGGCCCGGCGCGAGCAGGCAGGTAGTCGTGAATCGACCATTTTTTCATACTCGACAGCCAGGTTGAGGATCATTTTGTCGTTTGTGAACCCCTCCTTTCGGAGCTTAGCAAAATCTATGCCGCCGAGCTTCTCAAAGTAACACGGTCGGCCGTCCTATACACTTAGTCAAAACTGATGCTTCAAAATGGCGAGATGGGCCGAACCTTGTCAGTCTTGTGGTAGAACTGCGTGTAGTGTTTTGAAAGTCTCTTCTTGAACGATCCATCTTTGTCCCAAGTCCTAACCATCTCGTCGAGTTTAAGCGGTTGCTCGGGAGGATTCGTGAAGGGGTCGTCACTGAGTGAAAGCAGTCTCTGCTGCCCCATAGTGGCCTTGTCCTCGATTTCCAGGATAGTCATGTGGTTTCGCCATTGATCAGATTCGACAAGCCTACATAGTTCATCGTAGTTAGGTATCTATCCACGATGCGAGGACGGTGGAATACAGGGGTATCTTACATTTTCTTAGCAGCCGGTACATCGAATTTCCTGGCTCGAAGGAAGCGCAACTAGAAGACAAAGCAATCAGCAACTACGTATTCCCCGCGGCCATTCTAAAGGCCAGAACGAGCGCCGGAACGAAGGACTCGGCGGGTCGTCATACCAGTGTCAGACTGTCGAGTTGCCCCGTGAATCCTTCGCTCTCGAGCATCAAGCGCAATTGGTGAACTTGGGCTTGCTGGGCGGCGGTCAAGTAACCAGGATGGCCTTCACGAGCCTCGATAGACTCAGTAGGAAAGTCGAAGCGATCATATTTAGGTTCAAGCTCCAAGTTGGACCCGGACTGTGTGGCAGCCATTTTTTTGAAGCTGCGTAAGGAGGATATTGGCGTGGCGAGGAGGAGGATGCGGGATGGGAGATGGGAGATGGGAGATGGAAGACGGGCGGATATGAAGAGAAGAGAAGAAATCTGTAGACAGCGAGGACAAACGATGTTGGTCTAATAAGAATGCTGCGCTTCGATCTCTCCGTCGTAGGTATGGGGGTGTGGAGAATGGACCTAAGAAATAAGGAGTTTAGGACCTTTGCTGCAGATAGTTGAGGTTGGTGGCTTTTTCCGCCGACATACTCTCCGCGACTAGTGTAATCCGTAATCAGGCGTGCAGGCGTGCAGGCGGACAGGCGGACGGGCGGACAGGCAGGCGGATAGGTGTACAGGTAAATTGCGGTGATGAGGTACGTAGGTACTAAGGGGAGGTATGATTATCATTGAATGAGGTGGGCGGAAGAGGTGGGCTTTTAGGGGGCTTTTAGGGGGCTTCGAGGAGGGGAGTCCCCACGTGCGCCAGCGTACTGTGTTTACCGGGAGCAGAACAGGAGGCTAGGTGCCTGGGTAGGTGCCTGGGTAGGTGCCTACCGCCGTTTATTAGTACCTAGGTTAGTGTTTCTTAGGTAGATATAGATTACCTAAATTACTGCACTAGTAGCAGTAGCATCTAAGTATGTACGTACGTACCCGGGTAGGTAGAGAAGTAGTACGGGACGTTAAATGCCAGAGACACTCAATGTGTTGTCTCATGTGGGATTGTATCTAGGTACCTACTTACCTGTCATCATCTCGCATGCGCTATCTTTTACGCCCTTATTTACGGTGCCTCGAGTGCCTACTTACCTCGCTACTAGTATATTATGATTATGTCATGGAGGGTTTGTACGTCGCTGAAACGCGTCGGTAAAAGAAAAAAAATGGAGACCAAACGGGATTTATTGTGTACCCATACCTCGGTACTTACCCAGGTAGCTAGGTACACGTACCGGTATAAGTATGCCCTTAGGCTTTAGGTATACTTCTTACCTCCTTATCACAAGTTGTTGTAGTAGCAATTCGTGCAAACAATTGAACGGTGAGCATCGATTACTTAGCTGTACTTTGAGATTCTATAGGGTATCTAGAATAGAATTGCAGCCACATTGCAAGATGATATGGCCGGCTACCGTGTAGACCCTGTCGCCTCAGCTCTACTCACGACCTAGGTACAGTATGACACCGTATCTGGGCTGCCTCGCATGTCTTCCGCTCTCTAATTAACGGAGCACTGGTCGAGGTGCTTGGCTAGCGGTATGCCTATTGCCCCTTAATTTCTGCTATCCAGCCTCATTGTAAAGGCACTCCGCGGCCGCATTCATCCATTAGGCTGGTCGTCGCCATCCTTGGAACCCGTCCCTTTGCGGTCCTCCTCGGCCTTCTCCTTTCGTTTCTGCACAACATCCCAATTGTATACACGAGCTATTGCGACTTCCATCGTCTAGTCACATCAAATCAGTCTAGACACCGTCGCTACGAAGAGGGTCTATACTTACCGTGATTTGCTCTCTGAGAAATTCCAGATCTTCCTCGCAATTAGAGTGGCTCTGTTTAGCGGCTGCCAGTTTAGATGTAAGAAGTGTTTCTGCTTCGTCAAGAGGATACGACAGCATTACGTTGGCCTAGCATCACGTATACCGTCAGTTCTTCACGTCGAAAGCCGCACGCGGTAGGGATGGGCCCGCTCGTCACGTACTCCCAACCATAAATACACCTCGTCGGTAGGCGGTATAGCCGCCTTGGCGTAAAGCGTGTCGTTCAGTTCAAAAGTGGTATCTATGGGGCCCGAATCGCTCTATCGTGCGCGACATCAGCAATTGTTCGCTCGCCTAAAACGCATGAGGCATACCGATCTCGTCTTTAGGAACCGGACAGTGTCCAATGTCTTTTGTATGTCAGGCATCTTATCTTTTAGGCCGGCGATCCTCCGTTGAAGATTCAACTCCATGAACTGGTACTTCCTAGACCCAACTCCCTCATCAGCCGACGGTATTCTTTCTCTTCTGCCCTCTCTTTTTGGGGTTGCCCTTTCATACGCCCCTCACGTAGGTGATATTTTTCGAATCGGGCCAAAGCCGGCAAGAGGGGGTGGAGGCGTACGAGATCATTTCTTGGAAATTACGCAACGTAGCTTCAACTTCTTGCCGCGACGAAACATAGTCCTCTACTTTGTCGACGAACGGTGCGCAGGGAATCCCCCGAGGATTGGTAGGCGCCGAGGCTTTCCTAGATTTGAGCCCATGGTGTCAACAGAGATGCGAAGCGAAGGGGATTGTCGGTGGAAACACACTCGGCCGCCGCCTCTCCAGCTCGGTCTGGCATGGCGAATCCCGCGTCAAGCTTGCTTCCCACCAA